GTTGTCAAAAGACTTGTTGTGATTTTAAATTCAAAGAGAGATGCAAAACTATTAACTTATTGTCAAAAATAGTAATTTAGCTGACCTTTACCTTGTTTGAATTCAACCTAGTGTATAAAAATTCTTCATATTTGCGAATATATTACTTCTTTAGTTACACAAATGTATATTATGTCTGCAGGACTTTTGGTATTGAAAATGGGCCATGTAGGTCCACGTTTTGGTATAGCCCCCATATAACTGTACTTTGATGATTTTTGCGACAATATTCATCGGAATTGTTTTAAATCTTGAATTAGAAGTGAGAAATGAATACTACAGCCTATGACAGAAAATTGTCTGGCCCACGTCTTCGTATAGCCCAAATATAACGGTACTGCCCGATATTCCGTATTTTGATGATTTTAGCGATATTATTCACCGGAATTGTTTCAAATTTGGTATTTGATGTTGGTAATGGATGTTACAGCCTATGACAGGAGATTGTCTGTGCAGGTTCACGTCTTCTATTTTTATCATTTTAACTACATTATTCACCGATTTTTTGCATTCGGTATTTTTAAGATTTTAACAGTATTTTTAACGGATTGTATTGTTTTTGAGAATTGCCAAATTCGTTCCAAATGGTGGAAGGTATTCAAAGTTTGGCCCGGCAGAACTCACAGCTTTTTACTTGTTTTTTTTTTTTTTTTTTTTTTTTCAAATATTACCTATATTTTTGTCTATATTAGGGGAAGTGTGATAATACAATATATTGATCTACTCTAGAAAATATTTAAAAGAAGTAAAAAAGCTGCTAAGTTTTAATACCCTTCACCATTTGAAAAGACCTTGAAATTTTTCAAAAAATTAAAAAAAAAAATAGCGCTTAAATGAAAACCGTAATATATACGAAGATGTGGGCCTGCATATGCCATTTTTCTGTCATAGACTGTAGTACCCCTTAAGATCTTGAAATACGAAATTTGAACAAGCCTGTGAATATTGTCGCTAATATCATAAAAATTCTGAATGAAAGAGGTACAGTTAAGTGGTTGAATTATCCATAACGAACTTTAAATATGAAATTTTGAACAATTCTGGTGAATAACGTCGGTAAAACCTTGAAAATACCGAATATCGAAAATATCAATACGAACTTCAAATACGAAATTTGGAACAATCCCGGCACATAATGTGTCTAATACCATAAAAATACCGAATACCTCCCAGTATTCGTTGTATAGAGGCTATACGAAGACGTGGACCTGCATGAGTAATTGTTTGCCATAGGTTGTAGTACCCATTAAGATCATCCAATACGAAACAATTCCGGTATCTAAAAGTGGTTAAATATGACTCATTTTCAATACAAATTATTCTGGATTTCTCAAATATAAAATTTGTTGGAGTTTTAGCTGCGTGCCCTTTTATTGGTTCCCCAATGAACAAGATGTGTGGTATAGCTCATACAACGTTTTTTTTTTTTTTTTTTTGTACGACTTTTCAAATCTCTATTTAAATTTGCAGTAAATCAGCAGTTTGTGCTCTAAGCGATATTCTGCATTTGAATGAGTATAGACAAATTATTCAACGGAATTTGCTCAAAGTTGGTATTTTTCAGCTAATAATCCGGAACCTTCAGAAACTCGGTATTTCTATGATTCGATTTTCATTAAATTGTTCGAAATTTGGTATTTGAAGTCCATAATGGGTACCACACCCTATGAAACTTCATGTTTTGGCAAAATTTTTAATACGATTTTTTTTTTTTTTTAATTTATGCCTCTCAAACACTGGACTTTGGCAATTATGCATGAATTTTAAGGTTTAAAAACGCATCATAATTAATGATAAACATAATCCCAAATTCCAAAAATGTCACACCATTTCGCTACAGATGTGCCTTACAGTTAGGCTAACAATGTTTTGTATTTCTTTTTGTTTAACAATTAAATTTTATCTATGCCGCCGATTAGCCACAACAGGTCTTCTTCCTTTCACACTAATAGGGATCAAAAAACGAAACAAATTAGCTACGCAATTAATATCAACTATGTATTCCCTAAATCTTTAGCATCAGCACTTGCTAAAAACAATATATTTGTGGCAACCTAAATAAAAGTCCAATTTAATATTAATTAATTCTCCACCTCGGCTGGTCTCAAAGGAACAAAACCAAAAACCCAAATATTTCCATTTACACCGTCTCTTAATTCCGGCTAATTCACTCAATGTTAATTTGACAGCAGCTATTTGTTGATGGTGCAGGAGGGGGTAGGAAAAATACAATGTTTTGATAGACAACTGACATCAGGCATGTCGGTAATGTATCAAAACCATTGTCGCATCGATTTCACTCCAACAAAGATACCCGTCAGAATGGAATTTTTACAAATGATTTATATCCCTCCTGCGCTGCATTGTGAATGGGGGAGAAAGGCGTTGAAACAGCTTAATTAAATGACGCAGAAAATTACGGCTAACGTAATATTATGTCGGTGCGTAGATTTATTGTGCGTGAGTGTGTTTTCGAAGTTGTAAAGAGGGGATATCGGCTGGTGTTGCTTTGCGTGTGTGTGTGGTAATTGTGCGTTTTGTAGACAGGAATTATTTTTTTCTTCAACCTCATGTCCTTAGCTTAGAAGTGCGTGTGGTGAACCATATCCTGTAGCGGTTCAACTTGGCGGTACTTAGTTTAAATCACATTTCCATGCTAACGTGCTGGAAATTGTCCGGTCATATTTTGTGTACGCATTAATATTATGACTTTTAATTATAATATAACAAGCAAGATATTTAAAAGACCTACTAAATGTTGCCCAAGGAAAAATATAATATTGGAAGTTATATAATATTATATATGAAACCTTTGAAGATGGTCTTTTAAATTTCAAAGAGATCTAAATCGGAAAAACCTCGGTTTGAAAAAGGTTATATAAAAAGTAGGATATTTACTAGATTTACTGCATAAAAATAATTTTTTTGACAAACTGAGAAGTTCTGTTTGAGCTGTGAAGGAGTCCTTATAGAGAAAGAAAGGCTTGAGAGGCATTCGAAGGGAGCCTGTTGCGTTGAACACATTGGAAAGCTGCAAGGAGTCTGAAGAGACTTTATAGACGACCGAAAAAGAAGTCTTTATAAACCACTGGAAAAAATATTTGTAGACATGCAGAAGAAAATTTGTTTAGGGAGTCTCCGAACTGAAGGCCAGGGAGTCTCCTATAGACGAACTGAAGGCCAGGGAGTTTCATATAGACGAGATGAACGCCAGTGAATCACTATAGAGGAGTTGAAGGTCAGTAAGTCTCTATAGAAGAGCTGGAGGCCAGGGAGTCTCTATAGAAGAGCTGAAGGCCAGCAAGTCTCTATAGACGAGCTGAAGGCCAGAGAGTCTCTATAGACGAGCTGAAGTCCAGAGAGTCTCTATAGACTAGTTGAAGGCCCGGGAGTCTCTATAGACGAGCTGAAGGCCAGCGAGTCCCTTATAGACGAGTTGAATGCCAGCGAGTTTCTTATAGACGAGTTGAAGGCCAGTGAGTCTCTTATAGACGAGTTGAAGGCCAGGGAGTCTTTTATAGACAAGCTAAAGCCAGGGAGTCTCTTATAGATGAGCTGAAGGCAGGGAGTCTCTTATAGACGAGCTAAGGGCCAGGAAGTCTCTTATAGACGAGCTGAAGGGAGGCTCCATAGAGAGCTGAAGGCCAGAGAGTCTCCTAAAGACGAGCTGTAGTCAGGGAATCTTTATAAACGACCTGAAGGCCAGAGAGTCTCAATAGACGAGCTGAAGCCTCTAAAGAAGAGTTGAAGGCCAGCGAGTCTCTATGGACGAACTGAAAGCCAGGGAGTCTCCATAGACGAGCTGAAGGCCAGAGAGTCCCCTAAAGACAAGCTGAAGGCCAGGGAATCTCCATAGACGAGATGAAGGCCAGTGATTCTCTATAGACGAGCTGAAGGCTACCGAGGCCAGGGAGTCTCCTATAGACGAGCTGAAGGCCAGGGGGTTTCCTATAGACGAGCCGAACGCCAGTGAATCACTATAGAGGAGTTGAAGGTCAGTAAGTCTCTATAGAAGAGCTGAAGGCCAGGGAGTCTCTATAGAAGAGCTGAAGGCCAGGGAATCTCTATAGACGAGGCCAGGGATTTTCTTATAGACTAGTTGAAGGCCAGGGAGTCTCTTATAGACGAGCTGAAGGCCAGGGAGTCTCTTATAGACGAGCTGAAGGCCAGGGAGTCTCTTATAGACGAGCTGAAGTTCAGGGAGTCTCCTATAGATGAGCTGAAGGCCAGGGAGTCTACTATAGATGAGCTGAAGGCCAGGGAGTCTCCTATAGATGAGCTGAAGGCCAGGGAGTCTCCTATAGATGAGCTGAAGGCCAGGGAGTCTCCTATAGATGAGCTGAAGGCCAGGGAGTCTCTATAGATGAGCTGATGGCCAGCGAGTCTCTATAGAGGAGCCGATGGCCAGCGAGTCTCTATAGAGGAGCCGATGGCCAGCGAGTCTCTATAGAGGAGCCGATGGCCAGCGAGTCTCTATAGAGGAGCTGATGGCCAGCGAGTCTCTATAGAGGAGCTGATGGCCACCAAGTCTCTATAGACGAGCTAATGGCCAGCGAGTCTTTTATAGACGAGCTAATGGCCAGCGAGTCTTTTATAGACGAGCTAATGGCCAGCGAGTCTTTATAGACGACCTGCAGGCTAGGGAGTCTTTATAGACGACCTGCAGGCTAGGGAGTCTCTTATAGACGAGCTGAAGGCTAGGGAGTCTTTATAGACGACCTGCAGGCCAGGTACACTTTATAGATGACCTGAAAGCCACGGAATCCCAAAGGCGAGCTGAAGGTCAGAGAGTCTCCATAGACCAGCTGAAGGCCAATGAGTCTCTATAGACAAGCTGAAGTGGATCTCTTAAACCAGCTAAAGTGGATCTCTATAGACCAGATAAAGTGGATCTCTTTAGACCAGCAGAAGGCCGTCTCCATCGATGAGTTCAAGGGCTTCGCTGTAGACGAGAGACATTTAAAAAGTGTATTTAGGAGTTATATCTACAGATTATATTTTTTGTTTACTTTTTCCTCTATAAATTAAATCTATGACTATATCAAACATTGATACAATGTTTTTGGACTTACTTCAGCTAAAAACTTAACAATTAAATCAAATTATTGTGAGACAGCCTTTGATTCAAACTCTGTTGAATTTTTGTTTCTTAAATCGGCCATCGACAACAAAACAGGATACAACACTGTCATCCACTTCATCCACAATGGATACCTCAACTTTGGTGGGCACTTCGGGTTGATGGTTCTCAATGGGCAGCAATAAATGATAGGTGACATCTTCATCCTTATACAACGGACAATAGGCCTGATACAGGAGATTTTCACAAACATTACTACGCTCGGGCGCCAATTCAAATGGTATCTGTACTCCCAAAGTGGTAAATTTCACTACCGCCTTCAAATGCATCATATAGTTGCGAGTGGCCACAAATTGTATTATGATCTGGGTCTCGGTATTTTTCCACAAATCACAGGGCATTTCTGTACAGGTATCCACTTCAACTGAGAGAGGGAGAGGGGCATGGTCGGAACCTGAAAGAGAAGGAAAAATAGGTATTAATAACAATTTAGGAGAAATTATAACTTTTAAAGTTAAAAAGGAAATATTAAAATTTTTGTGGAATATTTTTTTTAATTTTAATTTAAAACCTACATTGACGAACTGGAGTTTCAGCTGCAATTCCTTGCGCAAAAATCACCAAAAGTGTGACAAGAGACAATGTCGCAATTTTTAATAATCCGTACATTTTTGAATGTTTTTAGTTTGAATTGATTATTTTAAAAATTTTATTTTTAAAGCTTTCACTTGTTGCTTGGACTGCTGTTGTGAATGTTGTGACTCCTCTATGATAGTCGTACAGTATATATACTAAAATCCCCATTGGGCTGAGTACTTCTGCACCGAATTGTTGTTGTTTGGCGAATTATCTAATCGGTCAACCTAATTCAAAATAATTACCAATCAATTTTGCAAATTTATATTGCGTCTATAAACTAAGTGTTTATTTGTCTAAACACCAACGTTTTAGTTATCAAATTTAACTCACTTATCAGTGACCGGTAGCTAGGTTCTGTGAAAAAGGAAGGCCAGTACATCTGCACCTATAATCATTCGTTTTCGTGGGGGCAAATATTGGAACTATTTTTAGAAACTACGTTAACGTTAAACGTGCACTTAAGTTGTCTGAGTAAGAAGGCAATAAAAGTGTAATGATGAGGTAGGTCATGTAGAAGATTTGTTAAAAGGAGTCCTTATCGACGAGTTGAAAGGCGTCGTTATATACATACGAGTTGAAAGAAATCTTTATATACGAGTTTAAATTAGAAGAAGTCTTTTAGGAGTCGAAAGGAGCCTTTAAATATGAAAGGTGAAGGCCAGCGAGTCTCCATAGACGAGCTGGAGGCCAGGGAGTCTCTTATAGATGAGCTGAAGGGCAGGGAGTCTTTATAGACGAGCTGGAGGACAGGGAGTCTCTTATAGATAAGCTGAAGGCCAGGGAGTCTCTTATGGACGAACTGGACGCCAGGGAGTCTCTTATAGACAAGCTGAAGGCCAGGGAGTCTCTTATAGATGAGCTGGAGGCCAGGAAGTCTCTTATAGATAAGCTGGAGGCCAGGAAGTCTCCTATAGATGGGCTGGAGACCAGGAAGTCCGTCATGGACAAGCCGGAGGCCAGGAAGTCCGTCATGGACAAGCCGGAGGCCAGGAAGTCTCTTATAGACGAGCTGGAGGCCAGGAAGTCTCTTATAGATGGGCTGGAGGCCATGAAGTCTCTTATAGACGAGCTGGAGGCCAGGAAGTCTCTTATAGACGACCTGAAGGCCAGGAAGTCTCTTATAGATGCGCTGGAGGCCAGGAAGTCTCTTATAGATAAGCTGGAGGCCAGGAAGTCTCTCATAGACGAGCTGAAGGCCAGAGAGTCTCTATAGACGAGCTGAGGCCAGGGAGTCTCTTTGGACGAGCTGAAGGCCACGGAGTCTCTATAGATGAGCTGAAGGCCACGGAGTCTCTTATAGATGAGCTGGAGACCAGGAAGTCTCTCATAGACGAGCTGGAGGCCAAGAAGTCTATTACAGACAAGCTGGAGGCCAGGAAGTCTCTTATAGACCAGCTGGAGGCCAGGAAGTCACTTATAGACGAGCTGGAGGCCAGGAAGTCTCTTATAGACGAGCTGGAGGCCAGGAAGTCTCTTATAGATGAGCTGGAGGCCAGGAAGTCTCTTATAGACGAGCTGGAGGCCAGGAAGTCTCTTATAGACGAGCTGGAGGCCAGGAAGTCTCTTATAGACGAGCTTGAGGCCAGGAAGTCTCTTATAGACGAGCTGGAGGCCAGGAAATCTCTTATAGATGCGCTGGAGGCCAGGAAGTCTCTTATAGACGAGCTGGAGGCCAGGAAGTCTCTCATAGACGAGCTGGAGGCCCAGAAGTCTCTTACAGACAAGCTGGAGGCCAGGAAGTCTCTTATAGACGAGCTGAAGGAGCGGGGTCTCTTATAGACGACCTGGAGGCCAGGGATTTACTTATACATGAGCTGGAAGCCAGGAAATCTCTTATAGACGAGCTGAAGGCCAGGCCGTGTCTCTATAGACAAAGAAAGTGATGGCCAGGCCGGGTCTCTATAGATGAGCTGAAGTCCAGGGAGTCTTTATAAACGAGCTGAAGGCCTGAGAGTCTACAGTACAGACGAACTGAAAACAAAGCGGTGTCTATAGACGAGCTGGAGGCCAGGCCGCGTCTCCATAGATGAACAAAAGTCCGTTGCTATAGACGAGGTGAAGGTCAGCGAGTCCCTATAGATGAGCTTTAGGACAGCGAGACTCTACAGGCGAACTAAAACCCGTTCCGATAGACGAGGACGAACTGAAACACTAAACTAAAACTAAAAGCTGTATGTATGGACGACGCTGTATCTACGTAGACGCCGTGTAGGCTCTTTCTATGTGATACCAAAGAGTGGTCTGCATAGATGTGCTTATAGCGATCTTTATATGCGATCTAATGACGGTCTATATAAACGGCATTAAGGAAGCTTTTGTGAACTACTTAAAGGCAGGCTCTATAGAATACCTGAAAAAGGTCTATATAAACGACCTAGACATCCTAAAAGCAAACTATCTAGCCCTGAAGCCAAAAGTACAATCTAACATAAACCATATATGATACACCTTATACGTCATCCATTTTTTAGGTTCATTTAAACCCAACCCTTTTAAAAAAAAACCCTTCAACAAAAAATTGTGTTTTCAAAAATGCAATGATTTGCAAGACTTCCAATTCCTAATATGGCCACCAATTGATATGTGATATTTTGTTCCGATTATACGTCTCAATTTCAAACGAAACAATAAAATACACATTCATACCTCCAAAGAACTATGACTTCTTTCATAAATTTGTCACCAAAGGCGAAAATATCTCTACATGCTTTCGATTACTGACTGCCGTTTTAGATTAGCCGGCCAGTTGTTTAAGAAAATTTTGACCGAGTACAACAGCACTGTGATGAGTACTTGTGAACCTGTGTAGTTTTTTGAACTTCAAAAAATGGCAGTACACAAAATGTTATCATTTCAAACAAAATTCAATCGATGAATTTTTATTGTTTGTTTAAATAATAAAATTGTGTTGGGTTTCGGGAAAGTACCCACACGGGCATTTAAAAATGGACTGATTAAGTATTTTTGGGTCAAAATATGATCTAATCTCAAAATTTCTTATAGAAACGACTATCAGTCTGCGAATTTGTTTGTCTATGGTTCTGATTCATAGTTTTTTTTTTTAGTATTTATTGTAGTAGTATTTTTGTAGTATTTTTTTAGTATTGAAAATTTAGTATTTATTGGTAGACTGACTTCAAATGTCCTGAAACGAATTTTCGCTAGAGAAGACATGGGGTTGTTAAGCCATTATTTCGATGAGACACATTGTGGACATTTCAAACATTTAGCCATAATGTTGGAGGTATAAAATACGTTCCCCATCGAAACAACAGTTTTAGACAACATGTCTCGTCTAAGACCAATCTTTTCATATCATAATATTTGTCTAAAAATTCTGTTATACGGGGTGAGATGAAAAACACTGCCAACAACTTCAGACTGCTGTCATTTCTAAGCCACTCGCCCGGCAGCTGTTAAAAATATTACAGTGACAGCTCATCATATTGTTTACAAGCGTACAAAAGCATTTTGGTGAGAATTTTCCACAAAAAAAAGTTATTCGTGATGGATTTCAAGCGCGATAGTGTGACTTATTTATATTTGGCTGGAAAACCACAAGTGGCTATCGATAGAGCACTCCAGCATTTAAATGTGAACAAATCTTTTGTGTCTCGTACCATCGCTAGTTACCGTGATACCGGGTAGCGTAGCCCGACATTAAGGAAGTGGACGAAAGAAAACAGCAACATCGGCAGAAATGTTTCGAAAAGTAAAGAAGCGACATGATCGAAATCCGCGTCGTAGTGGCTGAAAAATTGTTCGTGAGCCAAAACATATAGCAATTTTCCATTCGGCAAACAATGAAAAATGAGGTCGGGGTACAGCCTTTGAAATTCCAAAAAAGTGCAAGAGCTTACACCGCAACTTAAAGAAAATAGACTCAACAAGTAAAAAAGCTGTAAGTTCGGCCTGGCCGAACTTTTAATACCCTCCACCATACGTACCTGCACAGACAATTTTCTGGCATGCGAAATTTGAAACAATTCCGGGGAATAATGTCGCTAAAAACATCAAAATACCGAATAATGGGAGGTACCGTTATATGGGGGCTATATGATAACTTGGACCTACATGGCCCATCTACGAACTTAACCTGTCTACTGGCAAAATATACACCTGTGAAAAATTTTAACCTTTTATCTCAATTTGATTTGATTACAACAGACAGACAGACACACAGACAGATAGACGGAGATGGCTAAATTGTCTTAGAATTTTACGCTGATCAAAAATATATATACTTTGTTGGGTCTGACATGAGTATTTCGAGGAGTTACAAACGGGATGACAAAATTAATATACCCTCCATAGTATGGTGGAGGGTATAAAAAAGCTAAAGAGTTGCTTCGCTTGGCCGAAAGTGGTGAACTGCCGAATTTGGTTTTCTCCGATGAGAAAGCATTCGTTGTACAGCAGTTTGTAAACAAACAAAATGATCGTGTTTACTTGCCAAGGAAGTCAGCTGAAAATGTGCACCTTCGGTTGGCCACCAAAACTCAAGCGCCGACCATGGTGATGGTGTGGGCCACCATAACAACCGATGGTCGCTCTCTGCTCGTTTTAATCGACCATGGCATCAGAATAAATGTCGAATATTATGGCGAAAATATTCTGGAGGGTGTATTAAAGCCTTGGGCACGCAAACATTTTGGCTGCAGACCTTGGACATTCCAACAGGACTCAGCACCATCGCATTCAGCACGCGCCACCCAAGAATGGTTACAAAATTAGGTTCCTCGCTTCATTTCCAGCGCACAATGGCCACCAAAATCGCCGGATACCAATTCGTTGGACTATTATGTCTGGAGTATTTTGGAAAGCAAGATTGCCACTAAAAAATACCAACGTGTCGATCACCTCAAGCAAGTGCTTCGTCGGGAAAGGGCCAAAATACTGCAGAGCAACATTCAGGCAGCGTGTGACGATTTCATTGGCTGTTTGCAGGCCATAATTCGTGCCACAGGTGACAAATTCGAACAAATCTAAACTAATTCTAAAATTCGAAGATAGTCACAGCGCTGTAACCCACGTGTAGATTAACTATTATTTTGACCCAAATTTTCTTTATCAGTCCATATATAAAGCGATGTTGGTATACTCTCTAAAAACGTAGTACCTT